TGCTCCCCTACCCACGGTGGGCACATTTTAATATGCCCACCGCGTAGGTGGCATGCACCCATTGGTGATGTTAATATGTTTAAAAAAATACATCACCAATGAGGGCATGCCACCTACACGGTGGGCAAATTCACATGTGCCCACCGTGAGTAGGTGAACATTTCTCTTGTCTTATATTAGCTTATTCGTGAATAATTGGTGCTTAGTCACTATAAATTACATATATGTTGTTGTTTCATGTGATATCAACTGAAAGGGCTAGAAATATCAGTTTATGTAGACGATGACTTGCCAAAAAATCAAATAAAAGATATTGTGTATTAGTAGGTTTTTAATAACATATGATTTTTGTATGTTGATCAGTTTATAATTGAACAACTAGCCTATATATGATAAATCTTTTATATCAAAGAACTCAATATATAAAAACCCACTTTAAAATTGTTAACTCGTGCATCGCACATGTCGCTCACTAGTATAGCATAGTACAACTAGTCATTGCTCTCATTGTGTGAAAGCATGTGCCCCGGTGCACCATAGGTGCTAATCTCATTTAGTCACGCCCAATCCGGGCAATGACAAATAGCTCAAGGGGCACCCAGTTACGTCTAACACCACTACGAATGAAATAAGAGTCATTTTATCTTAAAAACGTTTGTCAATCACCTAGGGCATAAATGTGGGGACGATTCCATCTTAGGGTATTACATATTTCAAATGCGTCGACTTTATCAATTGCATTATTTTGTTCAAATTTACTAGTATAAGTTCATTACGTTCGAGTACGTCGACTTCAGAAATTATTCGCGGTTCATTCGTGGTATCGTTCATCGCCATTTTTCTAGAAAACCAGGTACATGTATATCCATTAAGTTTTTGGATAATTGAAAGATCCGTAACTGCCCCCATTGAAATCATAAAAAAGGACAGAATTTTTTTTGGCTGATTATTTTATGCATCGAACGCGGAATGAACATGTGACATCTAAGACATTATTCAACAAAAGTACACAAGAATTGTGCTTCAATTTCAAAAGCTTGAGACTCTCAAGAAATATACAGCCAAATTGTGTTTGTGATGATGATCGTTTCGTGATCATAAATTAATAATTATTATGTTGCCTTTTGCCAAATAGCATTGCTAAATTTGCATTATTTGTGAATAATCAAATCTTATTTATGTGTTATTATATATACTTATATGTATCATCGAGGTTTTTGTGGACAACTCATTTTAAAAGTGGTGGAATCTTGAAATATCCGAGTCAATATTACAAATCTCATACTCCGGAAATGGGGACACCCTTTTTAATAATTTAATTTATATATTTTTTTTTTCATCAAACTTACTTTAGAGGGAACCAAGAGACAAGGAGTTAAATGACAAACTAGTCTCCTAAACAACTTTTTTTCGGTCATGCTATTCACTTTGTGCAATCGTTTTTTATTTAATATAAAGTGAGTTAATGTTTTTTTTAGGGAAAAAAAAGTGAGAAAAAATAAATTAAATGCAAGAAAACAATATACTTTAGTTTGATCTTGGTTAATCATGCATACGCTTGAGTATTTTCAAAATCTATGTATATAAATGTAGGTATAGTATTGATTGCAATGTTTTTTTATTTTTTCGTATTTTCCTTATATATTGATTATATAATGCTACCTCATATTCTTTTTAAATGTCATTTTGGCATTATCATCTATTAACAAAACAAAATAAATGTCATTTTGGATACTTTGTACACCGTTTTCCACTATTATCCTCATCTAACTAATAAATACATTACGTCTTTTCATATTCACTCTTCATCTCTATCCTCGTTAATGATGGTTATTATTGACAAAAAATATATTCTTAATAACTGTTCAACTTCTCAAAACGACAATTATTAAAAATTAGAGGGAGTATTTTTTACAATGATCACTCCTGAACGTAACGTTAAACCACAATAGAAAATCAATTTTCAGTTAACTATAAAAGCTATTGTTACATTTTATATCAATTTAAGTGTAATCCTTTTTTTTTAACTATTCTATTACATAATAACAAGTTTTCTTCAAAAAAACATCCTTAAATACAGTGTTTTGAAACTCTTTCTTGCCCGATTGGTCGGCTAGGTACCCGGTCGACCATGGGCGGGGCAACTTCGGGTTTGTTGTTCGTATTGGGTACAAATGGATACGGTCAAACCCGATTATAACCCAATCAACCCGGCATTAACCTGGTGGGGTCAACTCGGTTTGTTTGGCATTAAATATTTTTTAATTTTTTTATCTTTTACCTTTTTATTTTAAGATGAAATAACATGTGTATATATATGAAGTAAATATTTATCACCCAATACAATATTGTTAAGAGTCAGGGGTATAAAATTTTGCATATAAATGATTTTTTTATTTTTATTTTTTTTGCTACAAATGATTTTTTTTTTATTGTTCTATGTATACACTACAAGAAAATGATGAAATTCCAACAGAAATCTATTCCAAAAGAATTATTGTAACGACAATTCCAATGGATATTTCAATACTATTATTTCCGTTGGAATTTTTCAATGGATTCCAACAGAAATTCCAACAAAAATATATTGTTAGAATTGGTTTTTCATTTAAATTTCCGTTGGGTTTTGACGATTCCAACGGTGGATTTTCTAATGGGGGTGAAAATAAAAATTCCAACAGAATTTGTATATTTCAACGAAAATTCCTATGATAAAAAGCCGTTGGAAATATAATCGTTGGAATCATCAAATTCCATCTAAAATTCCAATGAAAAACACATTCTACGGAATATTTCCGTTGAATTTTCTACTTGGAATATATTACCATAGGATTTCCGTTGGAATATAACAATTATTTCGTAGTGATGGTAATAAGATCAAAATAATATAAATGTAAGTTTAAATTCTATAAAATTACTCATCCAGTTCATCAATTTACCCAATATTTTATCATTCCAATGTTCGTCATCGTAGCCACCACTAAAGTACATAGCGACGAAATTTCATCATCACATATTTCGTCACCGTAGGCACGTCACAAAATGCATGTATGGGTGATGGAGACGAGACCGCGATTTTGTTTCTAAATAAATATGATAGGCTTCGTATTTAGATTATTTATTTCCTATTAGTATTATTCCCTTTTATTTTATTACCTTAGTTA